TTGTTTTTTTTTTTTTCAGTTAGTTCTTCTTCCTTTTTTTTTCTTTTTGATGAAGCAGCTTCAATGAGCTGTTAGATGAAAAAGAAGAAGTAAAGAAAAAAGGATTCGTTTTTTATAAAATTTTTTCATACTTAATACCATTGGGTCGGTCATATGGCTGACAACAATGAACTGTTTTTTTATCCTTTTAAATTAGCAGTTGACCAATCTTTAGTTAATCATTGTAATAGTCAAACAATGTATATAAGTATTCTATTTGAGGAGTTTAACAATTATCGGTCAAAAAGAATTGTTTGGCAATGAAGGACAAAAATTGATGTTTTTTCCAAATTGCAATCATCTGCAGATTTGGCATACAAATAGGTTTTTATCCAGAAAAACGTTGGGGATGAAAGGTAACTAGTTATTGCTATAATAGAGCCAATATTAGTGATAACAATAGTAATATTAAAAGTAATAATACCGATGATGACAAAATAGCAACAACAACAAAAAATTTGATGATAGCAATAATAAAAATAAAAATAAAGTAATAAAATTAAAAAAAATAATAATAGATGCTGTTAGAGCTCAAAAATGCTGCTGATTGCTTATTTAGGTACTAAAGTGAATGCCCTATTTTGCAACTAGTAACCTACATTGAATTTTCAAGTTATTAATAGATAGCTACTTGTAAGTATGTTTTTTAATGTACCTATCATACACTTCCTCTGTTCTAAATTTCCTATGTCACTTTGAAAAAATGAACTTTGAGAAGGACAATGATAAAAATAAAGAAAATAACAACAAAAGTGCCATAAAAGAAACTTTTTTCCGATTCTCTTCTACGTTATTATTGCAAAATAAAGGAAACAAAAAGAAAAAACAAATAATAGCAATGGATTATAGTAAAATAAGAAAAGTAAAAAAATAAAAAGACAGAAAGAATGTAGTACTAAAGTCACTTAGGTATCAATTGAAACAAATAAATGCCTTATCAATTCACCTGAATTGTATCAATTCAAAGAAAAAAAAAAAACAAAAACTCAAACGGACTAGAAGAAGCGCAAAAATATTTGC